GTTGGGGGGGGGGGGGGGGGGGGGGGGGTTTCAGTACACTCTGTGTGCTCAAAAATGCACCCAGAAATTGAATCTTTTGTGTGATTGGCTCATGGCTTTTTTGCAGACATTTACACTGAGATGAAAGTCAAATTAGAAACATCCCCTGCAATAGATGTTATATTTCTGCAGCAATACAAGACTATTCATGGCTATAGGGATACAGATTATGCTCATTTCGTTATTGAAACACATGTTGCTCAGGTGGTCATAATGAAGACAGGCTCACCCATTCTATGGTAGAGGTCATGGCAAAGCAATATCAATTTCTTTGGAAAAGGCAAGATTTTGCAGTAAAGCATGCTAAAACCTTAGAAATGTTTATAGCTTAATAAATAACTGCTCTTTGTGAACACTTAAGTTAAAGTGTATGTCAGTGCAAACAAAAATAGGATTTTTGTCTTATCTATAAAATCCTTTCCATGACTACATTGCAGGACACAGGGTGATGTTCTGAACCATGAATTATTACAGTAGTCGGCATCAGTTTAGGCAAGAATGTCCACCAGACCACGAAATGGCCTTGCAATCTGAGAAACAAATGCCTGATGATGAAAAATCGAGGAAGCACTAACTGCTCAGGTAGAAAGAAGGAACCTTGTCCTAGAGGTCATAAACCTGAAAGATGAGCTCTCAAATTCACCTAAAAAAAGTGGAACAAGAATAAGACTGTTCCCTGTGGGGCCCTTCAGTGACAACAGAGAGTTGGACTGACAAAGAGAAGGAGCTGAGAAGTAAACTCAATCAGTGCATATTACATTCAAACAATGGAAGGAAACTCCATAGGATGATTCAAAGCAGGGCAGAGGAAAAGGTAGAACAATGCCCTGCTTAGAGTGAAGGAAGAAAACCACCTTAGGAAGAAAAGAGGCCCTGGCTTTCAAAACAACTTTGTGAAAAACAATAAAAGGCTTCTTACAGGTTAAGGCCGCCCATTCGGAAACTTGCTTCGCCAAATAAAAGTGATTGGGAAGGCAACCTTGCAAGTTGAATAGACAAATAAATATCCTTGATAGGTTCAAGGAGTAGTCTAGATGAACCTACAGAACCAGGCTAAGATCCCATGGAGTCATTAGAAAAAGTACAGGAAAAACAATGCAACACCCTGTCCCCACTAAAAAGTAAGAGGAAGGGGCCACTGAAAAGGATGACTAAGCCTGAGAATTGACCCTTGATTGTCCTCAAGGCCAAAAACTGATCCAAACTAGACTGGAGAAAGACATGATTCATCTCATCCTGGGATGGAATACCTGTCAATCACCAAGACATTTGCAAGCAGTCAGTTTCCTAGCCTTAAGAGCATAGTAAATACAAATGTAGTGTAATTACAACGGCCGGCCAGGAAGCCCTGAACATTGATTAGCTCATTAAAATGGCACCTGAACATGGGTGGAAGCAGAAAAAAAATGGGCAAGCATAAGGACTAGATGCGACTTTGACAAGGGCCAAATTGTGATGGCTAAAGCATCCCTAAAACAGCAGCTCGTGTGGGACGTTCCCAGCTTGCAGTGGTCAGGACCGACCAAAAGTGGTCCTAGGAAGAAAAACCTGTGAAACGGCAACAGGATTATGGGTGGCCAAGGCTCATTAATACACGTGGAAAGTGAAGGCTAGCCTGTGTAGCCCAATCCAATACAAGAGCTACTGTACAACTGAACTGGACAACTGAACTGGACAACGGAGCAATGGAAAAAGTGGCCTGGTTTTTTACGTCATGTAGATGGCTGGGTGCATGGGGATCCCTTACAGGGGAAGAGATAACACCAGGATGCACTATGGGAAGAAGGCAAGCTGCTAGAGGCAGTGTGATGCTTTGGGCAATGTTCCACTAGGAAACCTTGGGTCCTGCTATTCATATGGATGTTACTTTGGCATGTACCATCATGTGGGGGAGACCATGTAGAAAATCTAGGATAGGATCTCACAATACAGATTTTGTATTAAACAAAACCTAATCTAAATTGTGTCTTGACATTTTACTGAGAAGAGTCATTCAGATAGTGAATTGAGATTCATGGCTGAGCAAGACTAAGCCACTGTACAAACAGTATCCAACTGAGACAGTGCCAACAAGGGCTACTCACAACCAACTGTAGAGCTGTAGGGGATAGTGGCCATGTGTCTGAGTATCAGTGACACTTTTTTTAATGTATTGCAGCTCTGTCAGTTAACCCTAGAAGAGAAAAAATGGGAACCCGTGGGGGGTGCTGGCTTCTAGGGAGTAGGGACAAGCCCTAGGTACTCGCGAGTGGTGGTCTGGGTGTAGCCCCTGCACTGCATGCAACACAACAAGGTCAGTCTTCAACCTCCCAATGGGCATACCCCCTTTAGGGCTTTGTAGCAGCTAGCAATCTTGATGGAAGTCTCGAAAAAATTAAAATATATAATTTGCTTCTCCAAGAGAAGAGAAAAGACACCTGACACTAGCAAAACACTGAGACATGCTGCGTGTGGAAGTTATACAGGGCTGTCCTTACAGCTTTTATGTACTAGTGTCCAATCTCCTAAAGGTGGCAGCATAACCCATAGCTAAGTAAACCATCCTGTGCCCTGTAATATATACGATTAAGAAAATATCTGTTAATTTGCCAGAAATTCCCTCATCTATTTTTTTTTCTCTTGTTGACTGATAGCACAGTGTCTTTTTATGCTGAAAGGCGTCAGCCCTGCCAAATCATCTTTTGTTGACTCCCTCCCACTGTCCTTATGTTCACAACATAGACAGTAACTGTTCTGTAATCCAAGATAAGTACTGGGAGGACACCTGGAGATTACACAGGACAGCTCTGAATGACTGACATGATCAACATTTATTTTTTGCACTTATCGAACAGATCGAACAAACATGCTTACACTGGTATGTTTAACAGACCAAAGGGAGCAGATAGTAGAATGTTACTGTTGGGGTCTATGTACATTTTAATCGTTACTGGAAATCGGCACAAAAAATTCAGGCATGGACACTCCTATTCTGTCTAAACAGTGAATATGCAGTAATCTCAGTTGTAATGAACATCTACGTATCTATACCACAAACTGAACTCAATTTGTATGCACCAGGTCATTACTCATTTTAGCTCAAAACAGGGTTACTGGATCTAAGACTTACTGACCACATTGCAAGACATGGACTGTAATATAAATTGTGATGAACTACTTTTGCATTATATTATTGATTTTTAATAAAATAACACTTACCTGCTCATTTCACATTGCCATACTATGTGCAGAATCAGCTGGAATATTTCTCAAGTAGTTAATCTTTCCAAACAAGTTTGAGAAAAGGAAATCCTTACTGGTAACATGTTGGTACAGACTGACTGAGAAAAGGGGAAATTACACAAATGCAACGGATTTCAAAATACTGTATATGCAGGAAGCAGCAGCATATTGCTTTAACTGCATTCTGTACCTTTTTGGAAGATAAGTAAAGTGAAGTAAAGTAGGGAAGTAAATAACAGTTATAAACTCAAAAAGATCATACCAAACACTGGTGTATATGCATTTTGTCAAAGCTATAATTGAGCGTTTTCTGTAAACAAATGTATTAAACATACTCCCATGACTTCAGAAGAGATTCAACACAAAATCTGTAGTACTGCCCCAGCTATGAGTATAATTTTCTAAACTTAAAGTGACACTAAACGCAGGAGTTAAATCTTAAAAATGCATTAAATTATCAACAATTTACAAAAATGTATCTTATTTGTGTATCACCAGGCTGTAGATCCTTAATTCATCTCTAAATTTGTGCTAACACTGTCCTTCCTTCTAGAGAATGGTCCCTGTGTATGTAAAGTAGGCAGTGTTCCAAATTTGATCCCATGATGGACTACAAATGAGCAAACTATACATGAGATTGTAGTCCATCACAGGAGCGAGCTTGGAGCGGTGTTTCCAGTGCCATAGCTGGCTCCTTTTGTGCCCGAGGCAAGAACAAAAAATTGTGGCCCTCCCGAACAGGAGTGTGACAGTGCATGCACAGCATCATGTGACGTCATGCTCCCCACCTCCAGGATGTGTTTTTGTAATTTTTTTTACTGAAATATCAGACCCCTGAAATCTTCCTTTTGAAATAGAAAAAGAAATTAAGGACACTCAATCTCTTTGCTACTACCCATTCAGAAACTCATGAATTAACAGGAAGTGATGTAAAGCACTTCCTGTTCATTCATAACTGGGGACATATAGTACTGTGTATCCCCAATTGTTTACAAACACTGGCATGATCAGCTGATCACACCAGTGTCTGTGCTGCACAGAGGATCGGTAAACATCAC